GAGGATTCTAAAACCAATTCATTTTAATGAAGTTTCCTATCCCACTTCCATTCTGAAACCTAAATCCAGATTAAAACCTTGCCAGCCAAGTGTCCTGGCCTGTTCATTTTATTTCGACAGAATTGGGCTCCATTCAAAACCACAACATCAGCTCCTGCCGTCTCGCGTTCCTCTTTGCCATCACAGCGGACGATTCCTGCACTGTACACGGCAGTCCTGAGTGCCGCTCTGTAGAGTGTCTCTGACAGACCGTGGTTTGTGTTACGCTTCTGCATTTTCTGTTTCTCGAGGCACTTTTGGTCCGCCCCAGGAATGTTATTTACTGACTGGGCTGATAAAGAACCTCCCGGAAAGGCCAATTACATTTGGTGTACAAAGCTTTCCTGAGTACGAGGCATGTCCCTCTGATAAATGTTTATTTGTAATTTAATCAAAGGCATATTTTCCTCTATTAACACTTTGCACGGAGGTGTATGAAACTGCTTTTATGGAAATAAATACTGGAAAAAAACAACAAACAATGGAGAAAAGGCGAGCAATGTCATCCATTAAAGAATCGTGTTCAAAAAAATCTGATAAAGTATAAATTATGTAGGAATTACATAGCACATAGCAGTGAACATGATTTATAGTATTATTTTGTCATGTCTTTGGTTCATTTGTTAATAAATAGTCTTGTCCTGTTCATTCTCAAAGTAGTTTTATAGATTTAAAGCTCTCATTTTCAAATCTTGGCAGCCACTGTCTCCTTGGATAGTGACGTTTTACTGGGGCAAATATGGACATGCACACACTGTAGGTTCACTGTTCCAGGTCTGGATCGCTCCCATGGAAGAGAAGTAGTGGTCAAAGACTCCCACTGAGCCGTGGTCCATGTGCAAGTTCAGTCATGACTGGAGGTGTGAATCCATGCCTTTTCCTTTCCACACTGTTCCACCCATTTTCAGCAGGAAAAAATGAATAAATATAGAAATAAGTCTGAAATAGTTTGAGCTGGAATTAGACGCCTCATTCTCAGTTTTGCCGTAGATCTGACTCTGGTTCTGAAGCTGCGGGCTGGTTCCATCCTGGGCATCGGCACTCTAAATACACCCTGAACAGCAGAGGAAGGCGAATTGAACATAACAGCTGGTCCTGAAGCAGCCCTCTGTATTTTCTTTCTGTGAAACTGTGGGGCTGCTCTCACGTTGCTTGTTCTGGAATTTTCTTTGGAGGGTTTACTTCTTCTTGGTTACAGCTAATATCTAGGTACAGTCACTATCTAGTTCCATCCATCCATTTTCTATACCCGCTTACCTGATTCAGGGTCTGGGGGGGGTCCGGACCCTATCCTGGAGGCAGGGAACAACTCAGGAAGGGGTGCCAAGCTCTCGCAGGGCATTGGCATCTAGTTAGCAATCTCAGTTGTGACACTTTGGACATCAAACTTTCAGACAATAAAACATTCTCTTTAAACAGGAAAAAATATAAAATAAAATGCAAATATGATATTTTTAAATCTAACAGCAAGTGACAGGGAACAATGTCTTCCATACTGTAACAATTTAAAAAGATTAGTGCAATTGAAGAACTCATTTGCGTTGGGGGTGGACAGTGTGCTAATTACTGACTGCAGTAACTTGATACTAGCAATTTCTCAGCAAATTACAAAGTATTACTTTATCTGTGACTTTAACTGATTTTGGGCTGGGCATCAGTCTGCGAGTTCAAACATAATGACCTTTACTGGGAATACTCTGACATACTTAGCTGTGAATACATAACCACTGAAAGGACCGACTGCTGTGCATTATTCCGCAGTGACACGAAATGGGAGATTTGTGTTAAAAGAAATCCCTGTACCTTTTCTTGGCTTCCAAAGGGACGCTGAGTCAGACAGAGGACATTAAATGAAAGTTCCTCTAAGCTCCTTTAAGGACTGTGTGTGTTTTTTTTTAAATCTGGCACTGCTTTTTTCTTTTCTTTGACCTCATTGTTTTCCTTTCATTCCATCTTTACTCACCTTTGTGCAAAGTGCTAACAGGATACAGTAGCATGTGATCAAACCTGTAAATAATGCAATTCAGCTAAAAGCTTAATGCTGGTTAAAAAAAAAAAAAAAAAAACTTTAAAAAAAAACACAGGGACAGGAGGAGAAAATGAAATAAATAGGTCTTCTAAGCTGGAAAAGGAATCCCATGGGAACAGATCTGGAGAGGAATGTAGGCGTCAGTCAGAACACAGAAACTCCAAATCTGACTGTCTGCGGTATAGACAGGCTGTGGCACAACACAGATGCTTAACCCTGGACTCAGGCCAGGTGATCTTAAATAGGAGTAAAGTAGGTGTAATTTTCATTTTCTTATTCAGACATTTACAGTAAGAATGCATCACACTTTGGTGCCTAACAAGGCGTCTTTCTGTGTTTGAGTTTCCCATCAGGTTTGGACACAAATAGACGCCTAAAATCATCACACAGAGGTGAACACAGAAGTCTTTCTCATGAAGTGTTTGCTTGGTTTAGGGTCACCATTGTGTGCCAAAGCAAATGTATGCAAACGGATATGGAGAAAGCAGGTTGCCTCACTGCGGGGACACAGCTTGGCTCGCTGCGGAAGACTGGCACACATTGACACAGTTTATTTAGGAGATACGTTTATCCAAAGCGACGCACAATTGAGAAAGTTGGTCCCTGGAGCAACTAGGGTTAAGGGCCTTGCTGAGATCAGTCTGGTAACCACAAGATTTCACCCAACAGCCTTCAGGTGACCGGCGCACAGAGCTAAACAGCAGCCCAGATATGTATCCTGCCCTTGGTGTGACAACCTTGAAACAGCTTTATTCCTTTCAACAGTTGTGTGTTTGATGTTACAGCTGAAGATCTACAGGCAAAGCATCAGAACGTTTCAAACTAGGACGTTGAGGACTGTCGGAGATGAAGAATGTATATAAGAAAAACTGCAAATAAAAAAAATCCATTCAGTCTACCTTAGGGATTTGGCTGTATCCTAGCCATGGTAAAATGTGCCTGTTACTGATTTAAATATATCTAGTGGGTTTTCCTGTAGTGCAATGCAAGGCAACCTGTTAATGTTACTGTGCTCTTAGTGCAGTAAAAATGTTTTCATTGTCTTAATCTAGAATCCAAGTGGCTTCCATTTGCATTTCCATGTCCTTGAATCAGTGCTAACAATAAAGTAATCATCCAGGCTGGCCTTGTCTCTTCTCCTCAGGATTGTATACTCAGATCATACCCCCCCCCCCCCCAGTCGCCTTTGCTTGAGACAAAAGGGGTATACAGCTTCCAACCTGTCCTTGTATGGAAACACTTTAAGACCAGGGACCAAGGCTCAGCACTAGTATTTTCAGTGTCTGTGTAGTACAGTAGACTCCTGAGAGATACTTTATCCACTTGCTGATACACAACAGCTGTTTGCCTTGTTTCTAGCTTAATTGAGCATAGCATAGATATGTTAGCGTCTATGAAATATTTCAGAAATGCAGCTTTTCTTTGCCTGTGTAGCAATTGCCCTGTTTTTTTTCTACTTCCTTTAGGAATAATTTAGCATCAAACCTTGACAGTCATACGAATTTTTAAACCAGTTTTGTAAAGAAACAACATCTAATTGCTTTTGTAAATTGTTGTTTCAGTTGTTTTTTTCCTAACCACTCATCTGGCGCTATTTCTAAGCCATGTGCCTTGCACGTGTCATCAATGACATCACATCCGCAATGTCCCCTTCTTTCGTAACTGCTTTTTAAACATTGCCAATCTGTTATTTAAAGTAATTGTCTCATGATGCTACTGTGCATTTCACAAGCCAGCATGGGATTTCAAAGGTGCTGTTTTTCTCTGTTTTCTATAATCATCTCATCACTGGAGATGGAAGGGAACAGTTGGAAGACAGTCCGTGTCTCCGTGACATGAAGAGAATTCCTACAAAGTGTCTGTCTTTGGATCTCTGTTCTGCAAGCCATCATCTTTATTTCTAGAAAGATCTTGGACCAGCAATGGAGACAGCAAAGTCTTTGCTGAGATATCCTTCCTGGTTCCGCACATGCAGACACCTATACTTGCAGAATCACACATGCACAAATGCATTCACTGGCAGAGACACATATGAGACACGCTGCTGTTAAACACAACCATTCACACGCATGAGATGATTGTTCGTTGATAAAAGTTTTTACCATGAAAACATTGTGAAGCGAGACAATGAACATAAAATCTGTTTTCTGCTGAAAACACCTTGTTAATGAGAGATATCAGTCATCATACATTTACATTTAACACATTTAGCAGACACGTTTGTCCAAAGCAACGTAAAAGTGAGGCAGATACCAAATTGCAAACACACAGTGTTATGCAGTCGATTCATCTAGGCTGAGCTTCCAATGAATTCCCAGGGATAAATGTAAGCAGTATCAGGGCAGGAGCTACACAACAACGTCTAACAAAGCAAGACTGATAACAGAAAGGTCACAAATTCAAAAATAACAGCTCAGTACAACAGTGGCCAATCTGAATGAATAACACACCTACCCTTGAAGCAGATCTGGATATAAAAGTGGATCCTACCCAGTGCCATTGATTTTGTGTGTGTGTTTACTCTGGCAGACTGTTTGGTCATATTCTGATTCATACATTAGATCAGGGGTTTTCAGCCTTCTTCGCTCCAGGGACTCACAAATGAAAGTAGAGCAGACCTATAGACCCCCCACCAGGAATGGTATGGTACTCCATACTTTACACATCTGTATGAGGTCCCCCGTTTTTCACATGTTAATTGGATTAAAATGTCTGCATAATCTGTATAAATGTCACATCAGTATTTCACAAAATAGGCACTACTGTGGAAAACAAGAGTAAGACTGTGAATTTTATTGCTTAATGGTAGAGGGAAAATTGGTGTATGTGTGAGATACGGATAGAGAGGAGGTGGGAGGGAGAGAGAGCTTTTGGTGTGTGTATGTGAAGCAGGGAGAGAGAGTGAGAAAAAGAGAGAGAGAGAGAGAGAGAGAGAGAGAGAGAGGAGCAAACCCACAGCACGTTGCCTGTGAAGCGTCTGGTGTCTGCCCAGCAGATTTACAGAACTCCTTCTAGTAGATCTAGAGAGAGAAGGAGAAAGTGAGGCAGCGAGGCTGAGAGAGAGAGCAGGAGGGATCCTACAGCGATTCAAACGCGGCACCTTTGAGAAGCGGGAGCGCAGGGTGGTCAAGCACCAGCAGATACTCCTAACGCCTCGGGCCACTCTCCTTGGTGCTTGTGCTGTGATCCACCAGAAGCGTGGGAAGGTGGACGCCCCAGCGGAGGAGGACAAGAGGGAAGAGAGAGAGGGGGCATCCCGGCACCCACGTGCCGACCGAGCTTGCGGCGAAGGTTTAGGGTTGACGGATGACTACAGGTGCTGGGGCTTCCCCAAAAGGCGAGTCTGAAAGAATCCTGAAACAGCTGTCCTCCTGCCCTGAAGATACACCCCCCTCCCAAGGCTGAGGCAGACAGCGTGCTGAAGACAGTCTGGAAGCACATGCCAAATCTGTCCTCCCGACACAGAAGCCTCTCTGTAGCCAGACGTGTGGCATGACAAACGCTGACGCCCCTGCAGCCCAGTATTATGGGACTCGAGGTCACACCAAGAGAAGGTAAGAGTGCACTTTTCTCATTGTGTCCTCACAAAAGTAGTGTAATGTCCATCTATATAAAGGAGCTGTGTGTGCAAATGAACGTATCAGACAATATAATTGATGGTAAGTCTGGGGTTGTATTTCACTGTAATCTGGTATTCTTGCATTAGCACTTAATTCTAGTTATGTCCTGTTTCTCAGTTTCTTGCCTACAGTCTGAATGGTATGTAGAAAAACATGCTAGTGCCCCCCCCCCCCCCCCCAAAAAAAACAAAAAATCGTTTTGAATGCCAGGTGGTCCGGCAAATTCATTACGAGCGCAAGGTGTGGAAGAGGCAGCAAAGGCAGCTAATTCAGAGTGAATTTCAGCATTCACTCCACAATGTACCATTTGAAACAGTTTCCTGGACAACTGCTGCCAAGGACAACAGCACTCAGAGACCTGCACGATCTTGGCAGCCGGCTGTAAATGTATGTACTTAGGCAAAGAAAGAGGCAAAACAGAAAGCGAACTGCAGCCTCCCATTCAGCATAGCAATAGTACAGCGGTCAGGTTCTATTACCACAAACCCAGAGGGCTCAACTGCCTACAATTGAGGTTTTTTTAAAAGCATCAATCTTCAGCCTAAGCTGTAAGTATGTCCTTTTAAACTCTTATATCTCATTCTATATGTGTCTCTTGTTTACCAGAAAGCTGTAAAGATGGGTGCTTTAACTCTTCAAAGACGTTGAATTATCTAATAGGATTACGATTAAAAAGCACGTGCCAGTAGGGAAGGCTCAGTGACGTTGTCACACCTACTGACCTGATCGTTTTGCCGTGTTATGAGGAGAATTTTCTGGAATAATGAGGTGTAGGTGTTGAGCTAAGGAACAATGTGGTAAAAATGTTATATTGAAGCAATCTTCAGTCTTTTTGAAAAAGGATTGCTGTGTAGGAAAAATGGAAACATGGATGAAATCGAAATCTGAACTTTCAGCCTGTGTTACAGTGCTGTACTCTGTAGAATAAGGGTGTACAACTAGGGCAGGGGCATATATAGAAACTCTGCCACCCCAGTCCAATCTTATGCATAATTTAATGTATTTAAGGGCCCCTGTCAAGTACTGCCCCCCCGAGTCTGCCCGGGTATCCATGCCCCTGCAGTGCCCCTGAATAAGGGTGTCACTCTCCATATGTTTAGACTGCTGGAGTCCCTGCTGCCCTATTAATATGCCAGCCCACATATTCCGCATGTGACTTCATTATGAGCCTTAAAGCATGTCTGATCACGTTCCTGGATTAGCACTCGGCTCTTGCTGTCATCAGCGTATCACACTCGCCGTAGACGGGCTGCCGGCTCAGCCATCTGACATCATCACTTTATCTCCTGCTTTCGCTGGGTTAAGTGGTGGCCTGAGCTCATACTCCTGACAAGAGGGCGACAGCTTCTCTCCCCAAGGGCGTAAAAAAAACGCCAACGGCCACGATTCATAATGCTGAGCCCATACCAAAAATGATGGCCTTAGGTATGATCTGCCCCAGCATGCAGTTGTTGACAGAAACATGGTAGGGACAGTAGTAATGCAAGAACCACAGCTAGTTCCCATTTGACTTGCCACCAATGAAATGTGAAATCTGATTTATTTTAAACCATGATGGTTCAGCTTTACGATTAAACAGTTTTTATCTTTCATAGGTCATTTAAACCTTCATGACGCTCTCCCATTAGCTGTGTAGCACCGGTGTTGATGTGAAAGCTGAACATACTATTTGCCATATCTGCCCTCTTAGGGCTTGAAGCTGGCGATGAAACGTCCGTGATGCAGCAATATGGTTTATTCCTGTAGGTACGCAGTGTGCGCCTCTCATCTGATGTCTGAACAAGCACATACCAGCTAAATAGTAGAATGGAAAATGAATAGTACACTTAAGAATCTGTTATTTCTCCTGTAGTTAGGTAGATCCTATGGGAGATTTAAGTTTGATATCTGATTTAATGTCTTTAGAGATGAAAGATGAGAACTGAGAAATATTTATACTGATAAGTAAATGAGATTGGTACCCAGCATGTGCAAACTTTGGGTTTAGAAGATGGCGCTGTACAAAATGCATTAAGTAAAGAATATATTTCTGCTAATTTATTCTGGGCCAAAGCCTGAATAGTCGAACCATTAAGTTGGTTTTGTTATTTGCTGATGTGACCTTCATCTATACATGGAACTGTAGACACTTTTCATGCTTGCATGCTTACCTGCCCCTGTAAGACTGAGATCCATAGATCGCAGTGAAAGCCCTACTGACAAGTTTAGTGATGGATGGGTGTGCCGGTTTTATAATGGAGAGTGAATTCCTGGCCAGATATGAGGTGAGGAACTATAACAATCGATATGGGAGGTGGAGGGGGGGGGGCGTAGGGGGTGTGTCTATGTCCTTCTCCCCTCTCAGCACCTTTAACAGCACCCACACATCTGAAGCATGCTGACCAAACTGCGTCGACTTGACTTCTGTTTTTCATATGATTGTTCTTACAAGAGATATAACATATAAATGTTGTGTAGAAGTGTTCGGTCCAAAGCGTGGGAAAATGAGCAATTGTTTAATTTTCTTCTTTCAATGTCCCATTGTTCCACGCATTCTCTGTATTTCCAGAGTACTTTTTCCCATCATGCAAATGGAATCACCGTTTAACCTGAGAAATGTCACTCGAAAGTCCCACCATATCACCAGTGACAGTTTATTTATAGTTTATGAGCTGGTACTTCTCATTTCTCATTTTGTAGCTAGATGGAGGCTAAACAAGTATGGAAATGTCTGTCTGTGCACCAAAACAGGACGGCTACCACGTCTCATATCTATCATTTCTGCTTCATGTTTTTGACCATCAAAGTCCACAAATAGCTCAGTGTATAATCCTAAACTTTAATTAAGATCATAATATTACTATAAAGCTGTATTCATTTCAACTTCACTGTACATTTTGTATATTTTCTGTTAGCGTGGATACACATGTGGAAGTTTCTCAAAGTTTGGTTGATTACATCCTTGTATATCTACATCAGGCAGCTCCTTCTTTGGTAAACTGCGAAAAATCTGTAACAAGCATAATACCACCAAAGGTTCAATTACATCTGGTATGTAATTAGCAACAAGTAAGTCAAGATCAGCAGAAAACTGACACTGATGCTATGTTGAATTAGTTACGAAGACACCCATTACCTCCATTGTGTCCAGTGGGGTCTGTCAATAAATTAATTTGTCAACCTTAATTTAGTACTGCTCTTTCTGCAAACGACTCACCAAAAGCTTTGATTATAAAAAGAAATAAGGCAAAAGGCCTTATTTCAAGATGGAAGAAAAGTGAAAATTATTCACAGTAGTCTAGTAATAACTGAGTAAGGAAACATTGTATATAAATGTATAAATCACAAAAAGGAAGATGTTCTTCGTGTTGGTCTGCTTAAAACCACAAAGCTTTCCAAGGAGGAGGTGCTGTTTCCTCACTGATAAATATTTGGATACCAGGCAGTCTGTGTAAATGTCCTGGCTGGTGCTCACTGCGCACTGTGCCACACTCTGCCGGTACGGGTCAGTGCCCAGAGTCCTTACAAAAGTAAACATGACTATAAATGGCCATACGTGCTTCCTCTCCTCCCTCTGTGTGTGCCGGTCGTGTCTGGCCTCCTTGTTCGGCTCTCCCACTGTCATCTTCTCAGCAGATCTGTCTCACCACGCTCATCCTGTCTATCCATCCATCACTTCCTCTCACTGTCCTCAAATCGTTGTTCCATGATTGTGCTGGTCAAACGATTGACTGTTCAACATACTAAAAGGTATGATAAGAATACCTTAGACTGGTTGGCATTTACAGGCCTTTTGCAAAAGTTTTCATTCAGTTTTCAAACAGTCATCTCTTCATGTCCCTTAAAGTCAATGATTTCATTCCTGATTTCTGGCTTTATATTTCCACACGTCTCAGTGACAGACCCCTTGCAGAGCATGTTAGGAGCCTACCAGCGAGGAACTCATATGTTTGGTATTAAGGTCTGCAGAACAACAGCCATATGGAGCCCTTCCCTGCATGTCTGAGAGGCCTTTCAGCTTCTAACAGAACATCACGGCAGCCAGCTGCTCCCAATGAAGACATTTTATGTTCACTTTTCTTTAACGAACATGTTTCGTGTCTGTAACATGATGTCTGAGGACCTGAATGTTTGCAGATAAAAAAGGAGGTGGAAGCACCTCCTGTCGACATAATTAGACGACTGGTTCGCGCAGACATTCCGTAATTTACCCTGACGGCTATGGTGGTATGCTTGAGGGCGTTTCTGAGGTGAGCTCACTTACCAACTGTATCTCCCTGAACAGCGTGTCGTGAAGCTTTTGGAAACCTCACTTTCAGTTGGTGATTGGGAATTAGTGTTGTCCCACTGTGCTTTCATCTATGTGGCAGCACCACAACAGAAGTATGAAGGTGGTTTTTTTAAAGTTATTTTTTCTTATCAATAGATCAGTCATGTCATGTGACACAAATGCATTGACATCGGCAATTCACTCTAAAACTCTCCGTGACAATGGTCCATATGCCCCATTTAGTTAAGGAACATGACTGGAATACTGAGAGGAAGGCTGCAATTTTGTTATAATTCAGTTGCTAGGAGGTCTCAATGATGAACTTTATGGAAGTGTAAACATTTTCATTCACTTTTCATTTTCCCATTTTCATTTCACTTTTCACTCACTTTGTTTTGTTAAAAAGGTTTAACATCAATTTACTTCATTTTTCAGCATCTCAAACTTTTGACAATAAGGATGTCTTAGAGAACTATCTAATAATACTTCATGTGCACAATCGGGTCAAAAATGAGAAAGTCTGAATTCTTCTATCTTTTAGTGAATTTTTGTTATATGTCATCATTTTATCCAATCAAGTCTTTGTGTGTTTCTCCCTCCTTTTCAGAAAAACTGTCATCCAGCATCTGAAGACACTGGGTCTTTGAGTCATTTCAATTGTTGGGAAACTTGGACTGGCCAGCCAGGCTTCTGAGCTCTTGGATGAAGGATATTCATTAAGAGCAAAGCTCTTCTCAACTGAGAATGTGACAGACGGTTACACATCAGGATCTGCTCACAATCCCCAGGTAAACCAAACATCCTTGGGCCAACGGTCAACGACCATCTTGTCGTTCTTCCTCAAGATCTTGTTTTTTGCAAGCCATGCCGGCCAAAACACCCATCTACCTGAAATCCACCAACGGCAGGAAAGGCAAGAAGTGCCGACTCAGGGATATCCTATCGCCCGACATGATCAGTCCCCCCTTGGGAGACTTCCGCCACACCATCCACATTGGAAAGGGTGGAGAACAGGATGCTTTTGGGGATATGTCCTTTCTTCAGGGGAAGTATGAGCTCCTTCCAGGGAAGTCAGAGCGAACCGTCCCACAATGCCACAGTGAATTCCTGAGGGCCAACAGCACTTCTGAGGCCTCCTCTTTGGAGACCCCTTCCCCAGTACTCAAAAACGCCATCTCACTCCCCACCATTGGCGGGTCCCAAGCTCTCACTCTGCCCCTCATCTCCATCATGCCAATGCCTCCAAACCCAGACCCCTTCGACTGCGAAAGCCTCCCACCTTCCAACTTTCTGAATAAGAGCGATGATCTGGAGCCAAACACGCTGCTCCTGTCCCTCAATGTCCTCGGATCCAACCTGGCTGAAGAGACCACAAGCACGTCGAGCTTTTTGTGTAATATGTTCGAGAAGCAGAAGGAAACCCCAAAGCTGAAGTCAGTTGGAAAGGCTGTCAGCAGCGAAAATGGCTTTAATGTCAGGTCATACCACAGCAATGGCAATGGTGCCATACACTTTGGAAAGAAATGTTCCGAGAATTACAGTAACTGGCTGGAGAGTAAAAACAAAGAGGAAGACAGGATTAATCCTTTCCAATATGACGTACTTGCTAAGAAGCAGCACGTCTCGCAGGATTCCATTTCCAAGATCAATGGCTCGTTGCTCTCACTCGAACTTGATTTAGGACCATCTATTTTGGATGAGGTGCTGAACATAATGGACAGACCAAAGACTGAGGTTCAGCCATGAGTGCGAGCAAGGGAATCTGCAGAAAAATAATGACAAAAGACTCAATGTTGACTCTTTAATTTCCATAAAGCTGGACTTTTTAAGCCAGAACACTTTTTTAAACACATATCTTAGTTTTACCATTTTTCCTCTGTGAAACAAGGTATGCAGATAACATGTGTTGTTAATACTGGCAGCCATAACAAAGATACTGTGCCTTTAATTTTGTACACAAATTGAGATGGAATCCGGTTTATTGCAGCCTGAACCATCCAGTGTTATAGATAGATCAGCAGCGGTACTGTTTTAGGTATGGGTTGAGGGGTTTCTATGTTGTTGAGACTTCTTGCTTTTTGTTAACGCCATTGCTTTTTAATAATTACGCTTTGCTGATTATTTTTATTTTTTTTCATCAAAGAAACAAGCATTCTCTTTTTTAAAAAAAAAGTCCAAACACAAAAATCATTTATTTATAAAGAGCTCATATCACTACACCAACAAACAACATATGCATATACTGTTTTTATTCTGTCAATATAATAAAGTCTTTTTTTCCAAGTTGTTCTTCTTAAGGGTTTGTGTTAACTGAACACAAGTCTGGCCAATCACAGGCATCTTGTCTGACTGGTTACATTAATTAACCAACCAAAGCCAATGATATGGTATCTAACTTCACTGGCGTTTCTCTCTCATGTGGAAATGATGTCGTCCAGAGAATCACACTTCTGCTGTTTCTGGGCGCTTGCTCGCTGGCCTTAATATTGTGGTTGGACTTTTTTTTGGACACTGGGCAAATTCCCAAGATTTTTCTGCGCGGGGGAAGAGGGGAGGCATAAAGAATGTGAGAAGGACTGAGGACTGGGTTCTTCCTCTCTCTGACATTCCTGCCATCGTCACGTGCTGCACTCAGCACTGAAAGAGCAGTGGGATAAGCTGTATCGCTCCCAGAAAAGACGCTTACTCCGTCTGTCTGGGGGTCGAGGTACAGCTCATGGTGGGACGAAATGTATTTGTATATGAGGTGGGGGGAGCTTCTTAAAATTCCCATCATTCTTCTGTGGAAACAGTTATATGACCGTAGCCATAAATCAGATCTGGGTCAGGGCAGGAGTCTGGGTATGGATGGGGAGGGGTCAGGGGTTGCTCTCCATGTTGACTATCAATCACACAAAGCACAGAAGCAGCAAAGGGCCCCACAGAGACCTGGGCAAACTTTGACTGGTATAAATAGACAGCTTGCGGCTTGCCAAGCATTTGACAATCAGATGGTCTGTGTAGAGAGCGATCTACAGGCCAGCACTCCAGGTGGCCACGTGTCCTTCCACACTGCAGGCCACAGCTTGCCACCTCTGATTTTGTTATAACACCCAGAGGCGTGATCTGCCACATTTACGTCACACCTCCCAAATCAGGGTTGCTGTGAGGTGTCCATGCACAAAGCTGTATGTGGTAATAACATTTTACCCTTTCATTTACACATGTACTATATGTTTAAAGGGGATCAGCCTCAGAATGGAATTCAGGCTAATTTGGATCACTGTGGGGTGGCATGGCGGTACCGTGATTAGCCCTGTTGCCCCACATGTCTGGGACCACGGTTTGATGAGTTTCTGCCAGGGTTCCATGTGTGGAGTTTGCATGTTCTCGCCGTGTCATCATGGGGTTCACAGTTCAAAAACATGCTAAGGTGAACTGCAAATGGCAAATGGTGTGTGCGTGACCATGTGCCCCATTGGGTTGGTGTCCCATTCCCTGCCTTGTGCCTCTAGCTTCCAGGATAGACTTAGGACTTCTGTAAACCTGCATTGGAGAAGAGAGGTACACACCCACCCCATGATGAACCACCTCAGGGGTGAGATCCTGAGCGTAGCTGGTGATACCTCAGCACCACCTTAGTCTGAATGGACTGGTGTGAGTTTTTTTCTGGTGGCTGGAGTGCCAATCCTGCCACCAACCCCCAAAATTCCCTGTAAGTTGGAGAACCTCGTTGCTGGGCTGGATGTAGGTGAACGTCATACCCAGGACAAAGAAATTGCAGGTTAAGGGCCTTGCTCAACGGCCCAACAGAGTAGGATCACTGCTGGCATTCTCAGGATTCGAACCAGCAACCTTCCGACTTATAGTACAGATTCAGAGCCTCAGAGCCACCACGCCGCCCCAAGCTGGACAACCAGGTATAAAAATATATGGATATTTAGTTGCTTATCTGCCCTTTTTGGATATATTGAGTTTCCATAACAGACTCTGGGTCTGGAACTGACAACCTTCAGGCTATATGTGCCAATCTTTAGCCACTATGCTACATGCTGCTTGAACAGAAGATGCTGTGCTGTGCTGTGCTGACCCTTTCTGAAGTAGTGATAATACTGGTGCTGCTAGCTCACCAGCAGAGTAATGACAGAGGTCTACAGGTGAGTAACATTTGGCTGTTAAGACCTGAGAACGTGCTTATTTATGCAACCTATAATGAAGAAAACACAAGTGCAGGCCTGCACATCTCCCAAGAAAAGCCGTGAGAACCCTGGGCATGGACCGACGTCTGCTGGACACCAAGGAGATTTGTTTACACACAACACATTTCAGAAAAAGATGGAGCAACAAAACAAAAATGAATGCATTTGTTAGAATTCACTGTACAGAGGCCGGGCGTTATTTCAGCAGAGAAGGAGATGATGAGAAGCTTTTGTTCTTAATCGAGGGGCAGACAGCAAACCCAGACACCACGCACAGGGGGGTGGGGGGCATTCCTCATTATAATGGTCAGTATAAGAAATAATAAAGCATTACAGCATGTTCTACTGACAGTCATAATGCATTATAGTGTTGATTATAATATAAGCTCCAATGAAGCTCTCATCTATAATGCACTATAGATACCTTCATAATGCATTACAATGGTGGTATAAGAATTAAGGATGCTTTGTAATGTATTACAAAGGTATTATAGATGAGAGGTTCAAAAAGCATTTATAATGCATATCACGCATGCCTATAATGTGTTATGCCTTTTTATTAATTTTCACCAGTATTTTTCTGTTTCGTACCCAGGAGGATCGGATCACCTCAGCAGAAGATGCCATCTGGAGTGATTCGTTGTGTAGCAGAATTCAGGAAGTAACCCTGTTTGACTTACAAGCAAATTTCGGGAACAACTTCAGTGTTTGACTCAGGGCAAACATTGGCTTAAGCGGCAATTGGCAGTGCGGCTGTCAGGCATCTAGTCCTCACATGTGGGAAGAGGGAGAGATAGATAATAAAGCAGCTGGTCATAGACGGCGTGGAGGCGTCCATAGGAGGGGAGATAGATAATAAGGCAGCTGGACAGAGACGGCGTGGACGCGTCCATAGGAGGGGAGATAGATAATAAAGCAGCTGGACAGAGACGGTGTGGAGGCGTCCATAGGAGGGGAGATAGATAATAAGGCAGCTGGACAGAGACGGCGTGGACGCGTCCATAGGAGGAGAGATAGATAATAAGGCAGCTGGACAGAGACGGTGTGGACGGCGTTTCGAGGCTCATTACACGCCAACCCCAGGTGCTGTTTTCTTCACTCACATTTACTGCTCACATGGCAGCAGCATACATTTCTCCATCTGAGAATCTTTAACTGATGACGTGGCCATTGGAACACACTGAATTAGCTTTGTAACTGAGATGGGATGCGAGGAACCATAACCCGCAGTGAATGAGACATTCGTGATTATCCTAATATTTGCCCGTCTTTGTCAGTTGGCAGACAGGAGCATAGGGGCACTTGCTGAGTATACTGGGCAGCCCCCACAGACGGGACACCCCCCTCCTGCATTTATGTCTGCGTCAATGGAGAAACTTCACAAGTATCTTGAGAACAAGGGCTCATCTTAACCAAACTGGAGGTTCAGTTTTGCAATCCAGATTGAAGGAGAGACCGGTAAAAGATATGAATATAGAAGTGATCACATTTTATTATACAAGATTGTTTAAGCTGTATAATCTAGTATGCAATAAAGTGTAGAAATTAGCAAGTCTCCATATAAAAAAATGATTACTGTAATAAATGAGTATTGTAAAAAGATCATTTTCAGTCCTAAAAAATGAGCACTGCTCTCATTGGCTCACGGCCTCGCTTCATGAACATGCTTAGGTGCATATGCTCCGCAGTTACACACACTTAGCTCCAAACATAACATTTTACTGTTTAAGCCGAGTATTTTACTAATGCAAGTCAGCTTGAACACCTTACGCAGGTGGACTGCACTACAATCTCTTCTGGGATTTTAACTAGCAAGCTTCAGCTTGTAAGTTCAGTCTTCAACATAACTTATACACTTCTGAAGTACTGCCACAGTAATGTCTTCATAGATTATGTGTCATCTTGTTATAAGAAATGGTTGGACATCCAAGGCAAACCTAATGCTATACATTGTTCTATTATGTCAATGCTTTGGACACCCCCAGAAGCAGAGCAGCAGATTAACACTTATAAGCAACGCATAGTATACAAAGGACTTATTTATAAAAAAAAAATGGTAATGCTTTACATTAACTGCACCTTCATAATGCCTTTATAATGCATTCGTAGAGCATTCGGTGCACCTTCGTAATGCATTCATAAGCTGCATATAAGTATACATTAACATCCTAACATACTTCAACAACTGGAGAAGACATTAATAACAAACATTTTATGATAATAACAATAGTAATTGCATAATTGTAAAATCATATAATGTTTGTTATTAATGTATTTTAAAGCTGTTAAGACAAGTTATGATCTTATGGTATTCTTACATGCAGCTTATGAATGTTCTATGAACGCATAATGTAAAGCAATACCAAAAAATCCTACTCTTTTGTTTGGACATGTGGACAGAGTCGTTCCAAAGGATAAAAAAAGGCTTTCTGAACAGACATGGCTGGAGAAAAGTTCTCCTGTTTCTCTGAGCGAGGTGAAGCTGTCAGGCTCCTGTTGAAAAGACACTGGAGCTAGAGATCGTCCTGCCAAAGAAAGCACGACTTCAAACTGTCCAATTTTTCCACTTCGGCCCTAGAGAAAGCGTATCATAATAAGAGGCCTGTCTGGAGCACTCCGTGTGACATGCTGACACACTCACGGCTACGTCTGTGCTGGCTTAGGTCTCCCTTTGGAGAACCGAATCGGATATTTCCATGGGTTCTCCACCTTTGTGACATAGACGGCACCGGGACGTCTTGGGGAGCATAAAGACGTTTTTGTGTTTTCGCTCCCACTTGGAAAGGGGTTTCAGAAGCAAGGCTGGCGTTTTATTTTGGAAACGCAATAATTACTTGGTTCACGGTGTAAAAATAAGGATGTTCTGTGAGACGCTATTGATGGCCTTAGAGGAGCCGCTGGGGAACTTGAGAGGATGTTGTGGAACCCGGTGAGGCCGACAGCAGAGCACACAGAAGCTGCTGACTCAGGTGCACTGCTGAGGTTCACCAGAGGAATGTAAGGAAAGGTAACGGAGGAAAACAGGGGCACAAAATAAAAGCTGAGATGAGAAGCAGGCGCAGGTCCGGGGGCTGGGAGGCTTGCAGGGAGGGGGGCGCATACCTTGGG